AAGCTTGAAACAAAACCACTCCAACATTCGATATTTCAAATGGATTTTTCAAAAGGTATCAAGACAAGTCTTGTAAGTGTTAATCTTAATTTATGACTATATCAATTTAATGTATAGATTTAAAATATCAACTCAAGATATATACTTGATACAACCAAGTTAGTAGGTTAGATAAGCCGTGAAAATGAAGGTGAAGGCTTTACTGTAGGCTAGTCTTGGCCAAACTATTTTGATTGAAAAGTCTGGAATTCCATAATGGCATAGGCCATTCTTTAACTCTGCAAAATGATAAAAAAAAAATCTTTTCTGCCCCGCACCCCTGGCCCCTAAGAAACGGCAATGTACAGAAATCGTATAAAGAACTACAATTTCCACCACCAACGAACAAGGAAGTAAAAAATCATAGTATGCACTCAAGCGACTCAAACAGGCAGTGAAATAATAGTTATATACAGGGCACACGTGATAGATAGTGAAATATGAAATAAGTAAATTACGCACCGTTTATTAGATATTATAATAATGTTTTTACGACCTGAATGATCGAATTTGGAAATGAAATGAATGGAGTTTTACGTCCTGTACCATGCGGGCTGTGATCTCAAATGCAGCGTGTAAGCCTGATATTGTCAAAACGCCTCTTTTTATTTGGTTATTTGTAGTCTGATGTTTTTAAAAGTATTATCATTATTATCTTTCCCTAACCAGGTGTTATTATTGAGCCAACCATAGAAAACTGTAAAAATTCCTGAAAGGATGAAAAAGAAACAAGAAAGATTTATAAGAATTTCTTATGAACACGATAGTTTTGAGAGAATACAAACACGGTATTGCAAAAGTTAACATTTTTTATTCCCTACGTATATTACTTTCATTATGTATTGGGACTCTCACCGTGTAATACCTAAGACTTTATGTGGCCTATGAAACGTGTGCAATGGAGGTTTATTGGAAAACCCGTTACGCATGAATGACTTTTTTATATGTACAGAAATAACTATTTGCAGTTATGACGTTAACCATTCATTAGGTATTTCGAATTACTGCTCTAATTCTGCATCTATTTTGACCGTAACTTTTGTTTTGTTCATTACTATAAACCAATGACTAAAAGATAGCACTTTATAAAATTTCAGATTTTGACTTTTGTCGCTGACTTTTTTTGTTTTAATTTTAGCGTTTTTTTCACTTTCTACAATTTTATTTCAATCGGTCTAAAAATTTAATAGTAGATAAGCATTTTGATTCCTGACAAAAATCTATTTTCAAAATTTCGATATCACTTCCGGTTTTGACGTCATTCGTCTCTAAACTTGAAATTTCAACTTCCGGAATTTTGTAGGTATTTGAAATTTTTTTTTTGAAATTAGTTAAAATTGTCCCTATAACAATTTTGGAATGACAAAATTTGAACCGGAAGTAACGTGTTAGACGCCATCTTGATGTGACCAATTTTTGTAAAAATCGATATTAAGCTTCAGGGGTAAATCTGATTTGTGTGATTTTGGTGTCTAAAGAATCTGCAATCGATTGCTAACAAAACTTAGGAAGCCGATTTTTGAATTTTGGATTCGTATTTTTTTTATTTTCGGTTTTATGTTTTCAGTAATAATAGTGACTTTGACCTTTGGTGACCTTGTGACCTGAACAAAAGTTGTTGCCCCTTACGAGATATATCCGTTGATATCCTCACTTTTGTTGTGCATCGTTAACTTCCGGTTCTACAGCCATTGGAAAATCACGATTTTTAACTTTGAAGAGCTCTGTCACGTGACCTAATTAACATATGACAAAAATTCTTATATATTCTTTGAGTGCATAAAATCTCCTTTTTGGTGATATATCACACTTGATATTTTGATCAAAATTGCGCGTTTTAAAAATCGAAAATTTTGTACTGACTTCTATAGTAACTGTGCGTAAAATCACGGTGTCTATAATTTACCGACAGTCACCGTTGCCCTAAAAAAAAGTTTAACTACGAATATCTCATGATCTAATGATTGTAAAGACTTGAAATTTTGAACATTATTTAACAATGTACACACCATCACAGACAAATTACAATTTTTGAAGTGGGCGTGGCACATCCGGTGTGCATTTACCTTTACCTGAAATATTTGCAATTGTTATAACTTTTATAGTTTTCAATTGTCACCCTAGAAATTTTGCATGAAAATAGACTGCTTAGGACAATTTGTGATAAGATTACAATTGTTTGCATTCTTTACTTTAAAAAAGTGAATAGGTTTAACAATTTTATAAATTTTCATTTTTGATCTTTAGCATGAATGACCTTGACCTTTGCATGGTCAAAGGTCATTGACTAAGGATGACCATTCTTACTTTGATCTTTGATGTCCGATATATACTTCCGGTTTTGCAGACGTCCAAAACAGCAATTTTCGAAACTTCAAAGGCTCATATTACTTTTATTTAACCTTTGTTGACCTTTTGACCTGAACAAAAGTTGTTGCCCCTTACGAGATATATCCGATAATATCTTCACTTTTGTTGTGCATTGTTAACCTCCTGCTTCAACAGCAATTTTAATATCGCGATTTTTAACTTTGAAGAGCTCTGTCACGTGACCTAATTAACATATAACAAAATTTCTTATATATTCTTAGAGTGCATGATCTCTCCTTTTTGGCGATATATCACACTTGATATTTTGATCAAAATTGCGCGTTTTAAAAATTGAAAATTTTGGACCGACTTCTATAGTAACTGTGCGTAAAATCACGGTGTCTATAATTTACCGACAGTCACCGTTGCCCTAAAAAAGTTTAACTACGAATATCTCATAATAATGATTGTAAAGACTTGAAATTTTGAACATTATTTAACAATGTAGACATCATCACAGACAAATTAAAATTTTTGAAGTGGGCGTGGCACATCCGGTGGGCATTTACCTTTACCTGAAATATTTGCAATTGTTATAACTCTCATAGTTTGCAATTGTCATCCTAGAAATTTTGCATGAAAGTAGATCACTGCTTAGGACAATTTGTAATAAGATTACAGTTGTTTGCGTTCTTTACTTTAAAATAGGGAACAGGTTTAACACTTTTAAAAATTTTTATTTTTGAACTTTAACGTAAATGACCTTGACCTTTGGATGGTCAAAGGTCATTGATCTAAGATGACCATTCTTACTTTGATTTTTGATGTGCAACATATACTTCCGGTTTTACAGAGGTCCGAAAACAGCAATTTTCGAAACTTCAAAGGCTCATATTACTTTTATTTAACCTTTGTTGACCTTTTGACCTGAACAAAGGTTGTTGCCCATTACGAGATATATCCGATAATATTTTCACTTTTGTCGTGCTCCGTTAACTTCCGGTTCTACAACCAATTGAAAATCGCGATTTTTAACTTAAAAAAAGGTCTATCACATGACCTAATTTACATAAGCGAAAATTTATCTTTTGTCCTTATTACATGCAATCTATTCTTTCAAATGATATATAACACTTGGTATTTTGATTAAAATTGAATTTGAAAATTTTGTATTGACTTCTATAGTAACTTTGCGTAATTTTAACGGTTTCTATAATCCACCGATAGTCACCGTTGCCTTAAAAAAACTTTTAACTACGAATATCTCATGATGTAATGATTGTAAACACTTGAAATTTTGAACATTATTTGACATTGTACACATTATTACAGACAACACAAAATTTTTGCAGTGGGCGTGGCAAATCCGGGTTACTTTTACCTTTACCATAAATAATTCAAATTGTTATAACTCGAAAAGTTTGTATTTTTCACCATCGAAATTTTACAAAAAATTAAAGCACTATTTGGGACAATATCTGATAGAGTTACATTTTGTTTAGGCCTTTTACTTTAAAAAAGGGAATAGGATTTACAATTTATAAAATTTTGATATTTTGACCGTTTACATGCATAATCTTGGTCTTTAGAAGGTCAAAGGTTATTGATCTACGATGTCCATTCATACTTTTATCTTTGATGTCCGACATATATTTTCGCTTTTACAAACGTCCCAAAACAGCAATTTTCAACACTTTTAAGGCTTATATTCTCTTTTATTTGACCTCTGTTGACCTCTTGGCCGAAACACAAATTATTGTACCTTTCCAAAAATATTTTCATTTTTGTTGTGCGAATTGAACTTTTAACTTTACAGCTATTTGAAAATTCGACTTTTTACTACCGAATGTTAACACCTTTTAGTACCGAATGGTATCAAATTCATGCGTCTTTTCACTACCGAACGGTAAACGGTTTAAACGATTTTTTCTACTATTGAACGTTTACATGCTTTTCTTTCCGGTAAGAAATCCCATTGTGACTTTAAAATGCAACGTTTTATCGATGTATCAGGTTGGATGCGCACTGCTTCGGTACCGTTATAACGGTTCTAGTTGTTATATGTATTGATATCATGATTTATCCTGTAATATTATACAAACACGTTAATCGTCTGTTCGAATATTCGTAGTTTGAAAGTTTAGTAATGGTGATAAATGATATTGATGTTTGTAAGAAGAAAAGAAAACCTCATCAGTATTAGTAGTTGTCATTCATTTCTAGCTAGACCTAGAAGAAGAGATCTAGAACAACGCATTTGACGTCACCCCTCAAACTGTACTATTGATTTGCACGCAGCACATTAGACCTCTAGACGTGTGGCTTGCAATACCAACACGGGCTAATGAAGACAGGCAACGTCATGTAGAGTGCAATAGGGAAATTTTCCCAGGACTTTTGCGATTTCCATCAGTCTAGCGCGCACAGCCTTTTTTAGCACATAGGGCCTCGGTTTATTGTTTGTGTATGGGTGTGAGGGTGTGTGTGTTTAGGGGGTGGGGGGGGGGGGGGTTAAAACTTTCACGAAAAGTAAGGAGCATCTTCCTCTACATGTTGGCGTGCAGTTTCATGTATTTCACGATCCAAACTTCAAAAACCGCTTGAAAAAAACATAGTGTCGGTTAAAACAATATCAATATTTACAGGTCAGTCCTACCTTTTTACACGCCAACAGTACAAGTCATACCTGGGCATTCAGTGCTATAGCAGAAATTATTGGTAAGATCCCTTCTTTATTATTGTCCTTTATACAAGGTAGACCCTACCATAGTAACACAGATGGAGTCATAAAATTACGACTACTGGTAGGCTAACCCCTCATGACAAAACTTGATCTGGATTAGGCCTAATGCTTTTTGGATTTGAAGCTAAAATCCTGTTGTCTTTTAAGTGAATTATGTCTTTCATCTTTAGGTATACTTCAACCACCTTTACTATAGATATCAAATAACAGATATCTTAAGCGGATATCATATTTATATTTTAAACTTATTATACATTATATTACATGAGACATGTACCTCATTTGCCTTGGTGTGGTTACGACCATGGATGGTACGTATCTGTCACAAACGATAAAAGCTCTAGAAATGCAAGACATAAATAATTTCAGTTTTTTCCTATAATCGTTTGTCAAATCAGACGATCTATTTTTATTGTAGATAATGCTTACGATCCTGATGTCAACGCGTCTGAATTATGGATTGATAAAATTGAGGCTAATAATAAAATCTGTCTAACTTTCACTGATAATGGAGCTGGTTTGGACCCTGATAAATTGATAAAAATGTTGAGGTTTGTATAGGAGTCCTTAAAGGGATTGTAAATAGGTTTTTTATGGGTATCGGGTACACTTATAACATCGATTTGCACCATTCCAATTTCTAATCGGACGTCTGTGGTTCTTGCAATTGCACTAAAACATTGCCTTTTATGAAGTTACTATCACAAAGGCTGCTTATATCATTATAAGACCCTTAGCGATAGTAACGTCATAAAACGCCGAAATCAAGTGGTATTGAAACCACTATGATAGCTGCTATCAGTGTCCCAAATACACATAAAAAAAAGAAGAAAAGAAAAACCTCTTGACAATCATTCAGTTAGTACGACCCCTTGTTAACTAGAACATAATTCAACTTAATATGTATTTGCATCATGTATTTGAATTAGTGCTGGGTCGCCAATCTTGCCACGATCTCGATACGATATCTATCGCGATATGGGGTAATGGGATAAAAATTAACATTTTATCATCAAAGTTTCCATATACATTAATTTATAATTTGGTAACTGTGATATTTGGTAATTAGTTGATAGGAGTGGCTAACGTCCACCGTCTTATAAATAGTCACGTGATAGAAATAGAAATTGTTATTACTGGACCGGATCCCAATCACCGAGTGTCGAGCGGAAATTCTTCTAACAAGAACTCCTAATCAAGGAATAGGCATCTATTTAACAGATTTATTCTCAAGTTAAGTAGTTTTGTTGTTCTGAAAGTATAAATTTAAAATAATAAGGGTTTGTACATAAAGAGATGTAAAGAAAATATATTAAACATGTATGGGAGATAACCACTTGAAAATTGTAGTTACTTCCCTTGTTTGAACATTCTCGAAAAACTCCTGTGCACAGTAAACTCTTATTTGCACTCACCAGAAATAGTTAGGACAGCATGTATAACATTTATGGGGAAAGGCCATTTACAAGCAATTAACATACTATTTTAGCACAAAACTAATAATTGAGTCTTATTTACTATATGCCTCTGCGATATTTACCATGCGTTATCGCTTACATATCATTTTTGATAACACGCGTTGATTGAACAATGCAAATCGTCAGCTCTTAAAAGTGCTCTTGAAATACAAAGAAATGAATCTTAAAACATAATTGTACCTGAAGAGTAGATCACTCGGCGTTAAATATGTCTAATTCTCGGAGAGGATACAGAAAGAAGACTTTCTCTTACAAAATCAGAAACTAAAATGGCTGATGAGAAAATTGGGGAGAACTTCCTATTTCTGCCTCTGGGAGAATTAATTGTAATATTACTAACATAATACGAAACGAATATACAAATATATTATACATTTACTAATGAAACATTTCAAACCAATCCCATTCACCAATTAATAATATATTCCCACTTTTATGGAATGGAAGGTATCGTCAAGTATGATACACGACCACGCGATACTATGGGCGTATCATGGCAAAATGAGCCAAAACATTTAGAAATGTTTTGGAATTTGGGTCTCTGTGACTCATTTTGAAAAGCAGCCTCTCATGGAATACTGATGAAGGTTGCAAAAAGACAGTTATTAACAGCTATTTCCTGAGTGGAAATTCTAGGTTCAGTTCTTCTGCACTTTAAGTTTTTTTTAGTTTTGGATTTTGTGAGAAGTCTGTCTATGAGAGTAAGTCGGGTCATCAACCTATTGGTCACTATGGTAACGGTTTTAAATCTGGCTCAATGAGAATAGCAAAGGATGTTTTGGTTTTTACGCGACAATTACATACACAAAGTGTGGGCATGCTCTCCCAGACCTTTCTGGATCGGATTAGGGCAGAGACAGTTGTGGTACCACTAGTGACATGGAACAATAAAGACGGGAAAAGGGAAGACAATGAAGAAACTATCAACAATATAAGAGCTATCACAGCTTTCTCTGATTTTAAAACAGAAGACCGTTTGTTAGCAGAATTAAAAGAGTTGGAGAAACTTCAAACAGGCACCAGAATTATTCTATATAATCTTAAATCGTAAGTAAAAAATTCAAATTTTTATATTATAGATCAACTAGAATATCTGCTTCTTAGGGTCCGACAAAAAAGCGCTGACAATTACCAAGAAGCGCAACCGTAATCAAGCGCAAACACTATTCTAGTGTCCAAATTGCAATAAAAGATTCATTGTAAATGCGAATAACTTGGACCATAACGAGAGCTGTTCATTTCCAACATTTAGAACTTATCACTTCATTCTTTCATTATTGCAGAAAATAAAAGAAAACTTCGCTGGTCATTTGATAATTACGAAAATTGACCCCACCCCAAAAATATCTTTTTTGTTCCATATTTGAAAGTTGAAAAAAAAACTTTGTTATATTATGAATGTGAGAAATTAGAATAGTGTTCGTAGAATCTACGGGTGTTTCTGCATAAACTCCCACAAGGTCTTATCACGCTACTATAGATGCCTGAATAGAGATGGTATTAAATTCGTTTTTATTCCAGAGACGAGACCGGGAAGTTGGAATTGGATTTTGAAAGTAATCCAACTGATATTTTAAACCCACAGACATTGGCTATTGATACCACATCAGTTTATAGACCAGTACGGGAGGATATAGCTAGATACCAGGTTTCTCTCAGGGTATGTTTCATTCAAACTTCTAACCATTCAGATTACTCTCGGGTATGTTTCATTCAAATTTTAACCATTCAGATTACTGTCGGGATATGTTTCATTCAAACTTTAACCATTCATATTACTGTCAGTGTATGTTTCATTCAAACTTTAACCATTCAGGTTTCTCTCAGGGTATGTTTCATTCAATCCTTAACCATTCAGATTTCTGTCAGGGTATGTTTCATTCAAACTTTAACCATTCAGATTTCGCAGAGGGTATGTTTAATTTAAACGTTAACCACTCACGGGCCCACCCTTAGCCTTTCAGGTTTCTCACAGGCTATGTTTTAGCTTTTCAGATATCATTTAGAACATGTCTCAGCCTTTGAGTTATCATTTAGAACATGTCTCAGCCTTTGAGGTATCATTTAGAACATGTCTCAGCCTTTGAGGTATCATTTAGAACATGTCTCAGCCTTTGAGTTATCATTTAGAACATGTCTCAGCCTTTGAGTTATCATTTAGAACATGTCTCAGCCTTTGAGGTATCATTTAGAACATGTCTCAGCCTTTGAGTTATCATTTAGAACATGTCTCAGCCTTTGAGGTATCATTTAGAACATGTCTCAGCCTTTGAGTTATCATTTAGAACATGTCTCAGCCTTTGAGGTATCATTTAGAACATGTCTCAGCCTTTCAGAGATCTTTTAGAACAGGTTTCATCTTTTCAGAGATCTTTTAGGACAGGTTTCATCTTTTCAGAGATCTTTTAGAACAGGTTTCATCTTTTCAGAGATCTTTTAGAACAGGTTTTAATCTTTCAGATATCTTTTAGAACATGTTTTAGCCTTTCAGAGATCTTTTAAAACATGTTTTAATCTTTCCGATAATTCCAAGGAAGTGTGTCATTCAAACTGCAACCTGATAGGAATTTCATATTTCAAACATTAATGCATCGACAGCCTAATCTCTTAGCAAAGGAATAATTATGAGGTCGAGACTTCAAAAATACTTCAGGAAATGATGAAAAAGTTGTACTACATTTGTTGCAAATAAGTTTTCTATTTTCAGGAATATTGCAGTATATTATTCCTGAAACCCAGAATGAAGATCTTTCTACGAGGATTAAAAGTTAAAACCAAGTTAATTTGTAAATCATTATCTCAAACAGAGATAGATAGATATAAACCACATTGGCTTGTATCCTTTTTATACAGTTTAATATATTAGAGAAGACTTATTCCACTATACGGACAATCTTCAACTATTGTACAGTGCACTGGGTTATGTGGACCAGAAAGTTGACTCTTATTTCATCTCTTATTTTATACTACTTTTAACAACAATACACTCAGCTATTTACTAAGTAACTCGTCGTGAATTTGGATCCATTCAAAGAAATGATACGCGTAAGAAGTACCTGTCATGTACCTGGCAAGTCTAGTAGTTATCACATATTGCATGATTTATAAATTGCCGTACATCATTTATTAACGGGTTTAACAGGAGAGTCTTTGAAAAAGAAACGGAAAATTTTCTCTCAAATCTTACATTGCTTAACCCAGCCTACAGGATAAACCTCTTAAGATAACGTATGGTTTTACATGTAATAAAGACAATGTAGATGAATATGGTATAATGATGTACCATAGAAATAGATTGATAAAAGCCTATGAGAAGGTTGGATATCAGAAACAGCCCAATGATCTAGGAGTAGGTGTTGTTGGAATTGTTGAAGTCAATTTCTTACAACCTATTCACAATAAACAAGATTTCAATAAAGATGAAAAATACAAGTAAGGTGATTTTCACCCATTGCCTCTTCCATAATATTGTTTTGTGTTTGTGATATTGGTAGTAAGCTTGTTTAATATGAAAGAATCTTTAATAAACTGTATAGTATTTTAGAAATATTAAAACAATCTAAAAAACATGTTGTTACTCGGAGTTTCACGCCATGAGATCTTCAGACAGAGGTCATTTGTCTGAAGATCCCATAGCCTGAAACTCTGAGTATCATCCTGTTTTTTTAGGTTCTGTTTTAATATTTTTATATCGCTCTATTTTGATGTATTGAATGAAAATAATTTGTGAAAACAGTGAAAATAATTTATTGTATTGTATAGTATTTTATATCGCTGTAAACCAGTCCCATCTGAAAAGGCTGAAGGTGAAGAGGCGTGATCATTTTCCCACACCAAATCCATTCATTCCTTTATTTTTCCAGAATTGAATTTGAATTCGTGGATTGGTATTGTTTCTCTTTTTCAGTACATTTATGGCAGCTTTGTCAAAAAAAACTAATGAATATTGGAATGAAAAGAAAAATGGCAGCAACAGGAATTCTGAACGGTAGGTTCTGCTTAACTTACCATCATTTATATATCATTACTCAACATTGTGGAAACCTACAGTGGCGCACTGATGCCGAGCGATTGAGGCTAATAATTATAATGAGATTTGTCAAGTCAGTGAAGCAAAGTGCCAGTAATTAATATTGCAGGGTTTGACATAAAAGGTATTTGAGATGGATCAACAGAATGTGTACGGGATATACTTCAAAAGGTTCGCTTTTCCAGACGAAAGACCTAAATCCATCTACATGTATACATATACATATTCTCTTATTAGCTCAATGCGTTTAGGCCCATAGCCCATCAGTATATCACGTCATAGGAATGGGACAGATTAGCTGGTATCAGCAAAAGGTAAAGGAAAAGATGCTCTATTTTCCGGGGTTTATTTGGGTCTTGAATATATGTAAATAGTCTTGAAAAATAAAACAGACGGCGTTTCAAGTTTTAATTGAAATCATTAAATTTCAGTATGATATCAGATTGGTTATGGGCTCAATGTGATAATTGTTTAAAATGGAGGCGATTACCAGATGGTATAAACCGTAATTTACCAGATAAATGGTTTTGTTTTTTGAATCCAGATGCATCTCATAAGTACGTTAATTTTGTCTAAGAATTGGTACTGCATTGAAAGCTTCTTCAATGATGCCCTCCGATTGGCTTTGATACGAATCTGCTATCATCAACATAGAAAGGTTATTCAATGATGCCCTCCGATTGGCTTTGATACGAATCTGCTATCGTCAACATAGAAAGGTTATTCAATGATGCCCTCCGATTGGCTTTGATACGAATCTGCTATCGTCAACATAGAAAGGTTATTCAATGATGTCCTCCGATTGGCTTTGATACGAATCTGCTATCATCAACATAGAAAGGTTATTCAATGATGCCCTCCGATTGGCTTTGATACGAATCTGCTATCATCAACATAGAAAGGTTATTCAATGATGTCCTCCTGGACGCTCATAAAACTTCAAATTAAATCAGCAAATCTACAACAAAGAAAGCTTTCTGACGAGCCATTGAAATGAATATCTATCCCTTCAAACCCGTCCAAAGATTCATAGGAACTAAAAAAAGGCGCGGAAATTCTCCAACAGACGCTTTGCATATCTTCGAATCTGTGTAATCGAGCCTAAAAATAGGGTTAGTTATAAGATAGTTATAAGATACCCCAAATGGCCTAACTCATTAGATTTTGCCGAATAAGGCAAATTAATTTGTTGTATGCTCTAGTCGATGTCAGTATCGGTATAAATTAGGTTGAGGTATTTTGTAGTTGATGTGATACTAGACTGCTGTATTTTGTAGTGGGTGTGAAAGAAGGTTGTTGTATTTGTAATCAACAGGGAATTAAGTTGTTGTATTTTGTAGTCTGTGAAAATAGGTTGTTGTATTTTGTAGTAAATGTGAAACTAGGTTGTTATATCTTGTAGTCGATGTGAAATTAGGTTGTTGTATTTTTTAGTCGATGTGAAAATAGATTGTTGTATTTTGTAGTTGGTGTGAAACTAGGTTGTTGTATGTTGTATTCGATGTGAAACTGGGTTGTTGTATTTTGTAGTTGACGTGAAACTAGGGTGAAATTAGGTTGTTGTATATTGTAGTCGATGTAAAAGTAGGTTGTTGTATTTTGTAGTCGATGTGAAATAGAAGAAGAACCAGAAGACGAAGACCAGTCAATACAACATGTTTCTTATAAAAAAACAGTCAAATTAGAAAAGTAAGCAACAATTGTATTTTCTATGATAATAGATTTTAGAATTGTTGCGGAAAAAAAACAAGCCTCATTAGGAGACCTGCTTTTGGAAAAGAGGGTCAACTTGTAATCCTATTTGTAGTTACATCACAAACTGATTACTTGTATTGAAATTAAAACTTAATTTTTTCTTAAATTTTCAGAGAAAAGGCGAAAAAGAGATATAAAAGGGTAGAGGTAGGCATTCTGGTAATATAAGCTTACTTTGTCACCGGTGCAAACTTGAATAATCAATTTTACTTATCATTACTGTCAAATCAACGGAAGGCTGTGTAAACATCGCAGTGAATGCGCACGTCAGGCTCTCGGATCCATTCCTTTGATTTGATAAATATTTTATTTTAAAAAATAAACTTTGTTAAAGTATATGTGTGTTTGTCATGTTGAGTACTATTTCGTGTGGTTACTGCACTTATTATCCGAACTGCAAAGATGGAGATGAAAACTATAAACAAGAATAACAGCTTAGATTCTCACAGATCCTGTTTACCAGCTCTTCCTTGACTAAACCTCTTCACTTCTGTGTCTTTAAACTATTTCATTCCATTACATTTACAACTTACGAAAATGTTAGATCAGGCCAAACAACAGGTAGCGAGAAAACAAACACCAATTCTAACCCATTTTGAAAAAAATGTAAGGCTTATATTCATTATAAACTGATAAATTACATTGTGGCTGAACCCAGAAATAGTCTGAAAGTGAACAAAACTAATTTGATATAGTCATAGAATGAACTTGATCTTGAACTTGAACCGGTAATCTTGAGGACAAATTCCCAATTCTGTTCATTTGACGTGTGCCCTGATATTTTTTTCAGTCTATTTTAGCAGATAGATCTGATTTAATTCATCCTCCATCGACAGTATCAAGTACAATGTAAGTTGTATTTTCTGCTCTCTCACTAGATTCAGTCTTTGCAGTACAAAACTCAATTTGAGTCATAAATAGTGCCAACAAATCAAAATGTTATCAATTTTCATTGTTATAAGAACGACAAATCGGAGTTCTTTATACTTCAGACTTTGTTACAACATACCCTCCTGCATTTAAATCAAGTTTTGACGATATAAACCTGGAACCTAATTGGTCGTCGATTTTTGTCGCAGACTCGAATCACGAGTAAAATCTCGAGTGTGCCCACGCTTCCACGACAAGATTATCCCGTTGCCGACAGGATTTATAATATCAAACATTTTCCTATTAATAACTAGAACGTCTGATTGCTTCAAGTTATCAGTTCAATTACATCAATCAGTCACATGAAGACTTAAGGCATATAATATTACTCACTTTTTATTAACTTTAACTTTAAAGTTTCAACACTAGATACACATGCCAGTAATATCATTATGCATTCTTACTCCTTAATATCGTTTAAATGTCGTATTCAGTCAGTTGTTAGTATTGTACTTCGAGAGTGGCTTTAAAGTTCCTGACAACAAGCGAAAAATTTCCTCGTGACACACTGTATGGCACTGTTCTTCCCCATTATCCTAAACAGGCGCAGAAAATATGACAAGTTCCTTTCATATTGTTTGATAAATAGGCGCAAACTTCTTAATGTCCTCCTCTGCTCAATGAATAAACACTTTATTTTCAGTGGTACAAAGAGAAAATCCATAAGTCTGTTCGGAAGTACACATAAAAAGTTGATCATACAAGATGAAGACACGAATGATGTATTTGCTTTTATCCCTGACTCGGAAGAAATAACAACCATTGACCTAACCAGTGACAATTCTGTTAAACCTGATCCTAAATTAGTACTTAAGAATAAAGCACTACTAGACAAAAAACCAGATACCAAAAAACTGGAAAGTATTGTTCAAGCACATCTTGATAGAAGTAGTAATGCAAGTTTTCCAATGAAATCCAGTGACAATTCGTTTCAAAACAAAATCAGTTCTGCATCAAACGAGAGTAATTTCACGGCAAAAGAAATTGTGACCCCGAAACGAATGAGTTCTGATTTGAAAAAAAGAAGTCCCTCCGTGAAAAACAATGATTCTGCTGCAGTGGGAAGTAGTTTATTACAAGAAAGTGCTCAAGATCAAACCGTATCTAAAGAAGTTCAAACCGTATCTAAGGATATCAAAACCGTTTCTAGGGAAGTTCAAACTGAAGATTATTCTGAAAAGACAAGACTTTTACAGGAACAATTAAGTGCTGAAAGCCGATTAGAGAGAATTGAAGGTGAAAAGGCGCAACTTTTAGAGGAACATTTAAAAATCCAGAATGATATCCATGTATTGCTATCTATTCTTTGTCCAGAATGGGATTTAGGAGAAATGTCAGATGTTGGGGGCATTATCAGTGAAATGATTCGCGTAAATAGAGAATCTATGGAGGAATCTTAAAGGCCCAGATTCACCACCCGTCTGACCGATCGTACCTTAATCTCAGCTTAGCTTAATTATCAGTAATAGTTTGCCTTCCAATCCATGCGTGTCCAGAATCATCGGTATTTGAAAATTACAATGAAGACTCGTCTTTTCTTGGCTCGGTCATAATGATATAAAAATAGATAGTGAAACTTCTAGTTTGAGGTATTTTTGGAAGAGATTATGCGATTTTCGTACAGTTTTTAGCAGTCCGAAGACTATTTACAAATAATCCAGACCCAATGGCGAACCATGACCTATAACCTTTGCTTATTTTATTCAGCACGAATGACCCATTTTGTGAAATGTCTTATTATCATACCTAATCAGGTTAAAATTCATCTTTTTCATAATTCTTTTGTTTTATCAAATTTTATTAAAACAGCATGTCCGATGTCACCTAGACCGAAACGTTTGCCCCGATTCCTGACTCTGATAGCTATTTTGACAGCTGATGTACAGACATAAAACTGACGCTGTAATATAGACTTTTTTTTAAACCTATTTATTAAAATCTAATCCGTCAAACCTAAATATATTCCAAACAATTGGTATTTTTGTAGTTCAGTCGTACCATCATAATTCCTCTACATCATTTAAGTCACGTATGTAGTCCCATCATATATATATGTCTTCAAATAAAATAAAGCCTATACACATATAAAAATTCTGTTATCAATTCTGACAGGGTTAGTGGGCATATGTTATCTTGCCTGGTACAATCCTACAGCCATTAGACCACATGTCCTTAAAATCATAGTCATTAGATCACACATCCTTACAATCCTAGAGCCATAAGACCACACATCCTTAAAATCCTAGAGTCATTAGACCACACATCCTTGCAACCCAAGAGCCATAAGACCACATGTCCTTAAAATCCTAGAGCCATAAGACCACACATCCTTAAAATCCTAGAGCCATAAGACCACACCTCCTTAAAATCCTAGAGTCATAAGACCACACGTCCTTAAAATCCTAGAGTCATTAGACCACACATCCTTGCAACCCAAGAGCCATAAGACCACACCTCCTTAAAATCCTAGAGCCATAAGACCACACCTCCTTAAAATCCAAGAGCCATAAGACCACACCTCCTTAAAATCCTAGAGCCATAAGACCACACCTCCTTAAAATCCAAGAGTCATAAGACCACACATCCTTAAAATCCTAGAGCCATAAGACCACACCTCCTTAAAATCATAGAGCCATAAGACCACACGTCCTTAAAATCATAGAGCCATAAGACCACACATCCTTACAATCGTAGAGTCATTACACCACACATCCTTAAAGTCCTAGAGTCATTACACTACACATCCTTAAAATCCTAGAGCCATTAGATCACACGTCCTTAAAATCCTAGAGTCATTAGATTACACATACTTATAACCCTAGTGTCATTAAACCAGACATCCTTACAACCCTAGAGTCATTTAACCAGACATCCTTAAAACCCTATAGCCATTAAATCACACATCGTTACAATTCTAGAGTCATTAGTCGACACATCCCCGCATTCCTAAAACCATTAGATCACCAATTCTTACAATCCTAGAGTCATTAGATCACACATCCTTACAATCCTAGAGTCATTAGATCACCCATCCTTACAATCCTAGAGTCATTAGATCACAAATCCTTACAATCCTAGAGTCATTAGATCACACATCCTTACAATCCTAGAGTCATTAGATTACACATCCTTACAATCCTAGAGTCATTAGGTCACACATCCTTACAATCCTAGAGTCATTAGACCACACATCCTTACAATCCTAGAGTCATTAGATCACACATCCTTACAATCCTAGTCATTAGACCACACATTCTTACAATCCTAGTCATTAGATCACACATCCTTACAATCCTAGAGTCATTAGACCACATATCCTTACAATCCTAGTCATTAGACCACACATTCTTACAATCCTAGTCATTAGATCACACATCCTTATAATCCTTGAGTCATAATAGTACACATTGTTTCAGTCATAAAGCCATAGACCACACATCCCTACAATCCTAAAATCATTAGACCACACATCCTTATAACCCTAAATATGCATTTTTCTTTTCATTCTCATAATGTAGGTGTACAGTTGGGAGTGCAAACTATTTTCTGTACCCCCATCTGGTATTTATTTACAGCTGGGTTCTATGTCTATGTCTTGTATGTTCTGTTTCGTTTTGTTAATATCATGCGATCCTGGGACCCATGATCCTTGAAGAGATAAGCTTTGATGGATCGGAGGCAGGAATAGAGGAAGTTTTTCGGGCTATAAGTGGTAGTTATTTGTATGGAAAATAGAAAACCCCCTTTGAACCCATTTAACGATGACAACTACAAAAAATTCACCGTAACAGCTGCTCAGATGAAAATCGAGTCAAATCATTTGATAGGAAGAAGAGTCGAACATCTCTAACAGTACAATTAGTTTATAAATCTAGAAAGATGAATAAACTCTTGTTCTCAGTTTTATTGGTACTGGTTGGTATATGGTTAACAACAGTTGGTTTCACTGATTCTGGTAAGTTTTCTTGTTTATCAGTAAGAGTCTCTGTAACACTATATTCCTCGAGTAATCAGACGAGTTGACAATCAATGGGTTTTCTTTTATCCACGGTTGTAGCATTCATTTACATCTAAGAGGCACACTCCCTTCAGATGTTTAAGCGTATTTTCTTTTTTTTTTCCTATTTCATGTAAAGAGGCTGGAAAGAGGTTTTCTAGCTTTTTAGTGTATTGTGACCATTTGCATCCATTTGCAGCTGTCTCATTTTCTGTCAGAAGTATGTCTATGGCTCCAGTGAGTGTATAAAAGCCTATATAAGCCGTATATGAAGTTGATATAGCTTAAATTGGAATGCGATAGATGCGTCATAAAACGCTTAGTTTTAGTAGACTGGCAAAACCAACAAACGTCTGACTGATAATTGGAATGTTGCGAATCAAAGCTAATCCATCACGTTATATTTGGATATCATTGCAGTTCAATGTACGTCAGACCCTGTTATAATACACGGTGTATTGGACTCTGAAATAACATCCAGAGAAGTTGGGGAAATGCATAATTTTACATGTGGAGGTACACAAGAAGATACAGGAACTGTGACATGTAATTACACTGGAGATTGGACGGCAAGTTTGTCATGTGAAGGTAAGAAATTTCAAAATTTAGGAAACAAAGCATTGTACAATGTATTTAGCTGAACGAGTGGCCATTGAAACTATCAAGTTAAATATCTGAAAAACGTGAAAAACTTGTTTATTTCGTCACAAAAAAAATAAATTTTTACCAACCCAGGATAATGTCCAAACTACATCGTGTGAGATCTTCATTTGTCAATGTTAACATGAAAATATTATATTCTAGCTGCCTTATTAGTTGAGACACATTCTGAAATAGGTCACTTGAATGAAGATCACAAAGCGTGAAACTCTGAGTAACAACATGTGTCAGGTTCTGTTTTGATGTTTCTAATTTAAAGATTACATCCACTGAAAACAATAATTAATCAGGACCAGGAATAGGAAAACATGTTGTCGAAAACTAATAAAAAAACATGATTCGCTTTTATGTTCCTGTCCCACCAGAATCTATATGTATAGAGGATTTATGTTTATCATATTTCTTTTTCAGAATGTTACTTAGAAAATACATTTTTCCTTGTACCGTCTGTTAGAACTGAAGTAAATATCGAGGATGAATGTCAACAGTCATGTGCCGAGATAAATTGCAAAGTTTACCACTTTTTTGTTGCATCTTCTTTATGTTACGCATTCTATCCATTCATTCGTTTTTCCGGAAAGACTCTCCAACAATGTATCGATCAATGTAACGAGATTGACGAATGCCTGACTCTCAGATATAGGTCCTATGGAGGTGATGGTAGCGCATGCTATCTATTCGACTTGACGCTGCGAGAATTGGCAACCATGGGCAGTGGGATCATACAAACTAATGATGGTACAATCATTGGGAAAATAGCATCTTGTCCCCAACCCTAATTAGAATATGTAGAATTGTAGCTTTCCTTATCTATAGTACTATTTATCTATAGTTATCCTTTTCTATAGCTATCTTAATCTATCTTTATCTATAGCTATCTTTATCTATAGCTATCTTAATCTATCTGTATCTATAGCTATCTTTATCTATAGTTATCTTAATCTATCTGTATCTATAGCTATCTGTATCTATAGCTATCTTTATCTACAACTATCTTTATATACAACTAACTTTATCTATAGCTATCTTTATCTATAGCTATTTTAATCTATCTTTATCTACAACTATCTTTATCTATAGCTATCTTTATCTATAGCTATCTTTATCTATAGTTATCTTAATCTATCTGTATCTATAGCTATCTTTATCTATAGCTATCTTAATCTATCTGTATCTATAGCTATCTTTATCTATAGCTATCTTAATCTATCTGTATCTATAGCTATCTTTATCTATAGCTATCTTAATCTATCTTTATCTATAGCTATCTTTATCTACAGCTATCTTTATCTATAGCTATCTTAATCTATCTTTATCTATAGCTATCTTTATCTATAGTTATCTTAATCTATCTGTATCTATAGCTATCTTTATCTATAGTGATCTTAATCTATCTGTATCTATAGCTATCTTTATCTACAACTATCTTTATATACAACTGACTTTATCTACAGCTATCTTTATCTATAGCTATCTTAATCTATCTTTATCTGTAGTTATCTTAATCTACAGTTGTCTTTATCTTCAGCTATCTTTATCTGCAACTAAAGCTATCTTTATCTACAGCAATTTTATATACACCTAATAATCAGATTTTGGTGAAACTTGGAAAACTATTCTTGTAGAATCTATTGATGAGTTCGATTTTCAGGATTTTAGGATAACAATTTACGAAATTGCACATACATATGCATAATAGTAGATTCAAATGTTCAGTGATGCCCTTTGAAACGTTAAAGCTGCTATGAAATTTTCTGTCTTGGTCAAACGTTCGTTTTAATTTCGTATTTTACATTTTATTTCCCGTCGGTTCTTTCGTCCGTCTATTCACGATAATTTCACTGTTAATCCATAGACTTTTTTCCTTAACAGAAATATAACCTTTCAGAGCTACACATTAATCATGATAAAAAAAATAGTTTCATAATATAACTAGATATATGAATAAAGTATTTTTTGAATCATTAGATACACTCTATATAGCTATTAGAATAAACCCCCTCTTATATGTGGCTATAAGAATAAACCCCCTCTTATATGTGGCTATTAGAAAAAACCCCCTCTTATATATGGCTATTAGAATAAACCCCCTCTTATATATAGCTAATAGAATAAACCCCCTCTTATATGTGGCTATAAGAATAAACCCCCTCTTATATGTGGCTATTAGAATAAACCCCTTCTTATATATGGCTATTAGAATAAACCCCCTCTTATGTGTGTCTATTAGAATAAACCCCCTCTTATATGTGGCTATTAGAATAAACCCCCTCTTATATGTGACTATTAGAATAAACCCCCTCTTATATGTGACTATTAGAATAAACCCCCTCTTATATGTGGCTATTAGAATAAACCCCCTCTTATATGTGGCTATTAGAATAAACCCTCTCTTATATGTGACTTTTAGAATAAACCCCCTCTTATATGTGTCTATTAGAATAAACCCCCTCTTATATGTGGCTATTAGAATAAACCCCCTCTTATATGTGGCTATTAGAAAAAACCCTGTCTTATATGTGACTTTTAGAATAAACCCCCTCTTATATATGTCTATTAGAATAAACCCCCTCTTATATGTGGCTATTAGAATAAACCCCCTCTTATATGTGGCTATTAGAATAAACCCCCTCTTATATGTGTCTATTAGAATAAGCCCCCTCTTATATGTGTCTATTAGAATAAACACACTCTTATATATGGCTATTAGAATAAACCCCCTCTTATATGTGGCTATTAGAACAAACCCCCTCTTATATGTGTCTATTAGAATAAACCCCCTCTTATATGTGGCTATTAGAATAAACCCCCTCTGATATATGTCTATTAGAATAAACCCCATCTTATATGTGACTATTAGAATAAAAGCCCTCTTATATGTTGGCTATTAGAATAAACCCCCTCTTATATGTGTCTATTAGAATAAACCCCCTCTTATATGTGACTATTAGAATAAACCCCCTCTCATATGTGGCTATGAGAATAAACCCCCTCTTATATGTGGCTATTAGAATAAACCCCCTCTTATATGTGACTATTAGAATAAATCCCCTCTTATATGTGACTATTAGAATAAATCCCCTCTCATATGCGGCTATAAGAATAAACCCCCTCTTATATATGGCTATCATAATAAATGCCTACACTTAATTCTTGGGTTGAGCTCGAAATATTCGAAAAGTGTCCCGGTGTTAACCCAAATGTGCAAAAAAGGGTAAAACTATCGATATACGAAATAATAGATGTAGATGTAAAGTTTTCTTTTGTAATAATGCCAAATCAAGGTTCACCTATTAATTTTAATCGTCATTGAAGAATTTCACATCCTTACAATTCTAGAGTCATTACACTGCACATCCTTACAATTATAGAGTCATTACACTTCACATCCTTAAAAGTCTAGCGCCATTACACTGCACATCTTTACATTTCTAGAGCCATTACACTTCACATCCTTACAATTTTAGAGCCATTACACTTCACATCCTTACAATTCTAGAGCCATTACACTTCACATCCTCACAATTCTAGAGCCATTACACTTCACATCCTTACAATCATATAGCCATTACACTTCACATCCTTACAATTCTAGAGCCATTACACTTCACATCCTTACAATTCTAGAGTCATTATACTCCACATCCTTACAATTCTAGAGCCATTACACTTCACATCTTTACAATTCTAGAGCCATTACACTTCACATCCTTACAATTCTAGAGCCATTACACTTCACATCCTTACAATTCTAGAGCCATTACACTTCACATCCTTACAATCATATAGCCATTACACTTCACATTCTTACAATTCTATAGCCATTAGACCACACGCCCTTATAATCATAGAGCCTTTAGACCACACGTCCTTACTATAATCGAACCATTAGACCACACATCCTTACGATCATAGAGCCATTAGACAACACATCCTTACTATACTCGAGCCATTAGACCACACATCCTTATAATCATAGAGCCTTTAGACCACACGTCCTTACTATACCCGAGCCATTAGACCACACATCCTTATATCACAGAACCTTTAGACCACACGTCCTTACTTTACTCGAGCCATTAGACAACACATCCTTATAACCATAGAGCCATTAGACCACACATCCTTATACACCAGAGTCATTAGACCACACATCCTTATAATTCTAGAGCCGATAGATCACACACACTTACTACTCTACAGCTATTAGACCACACATCCTAACGATCATAGAGCCATTAGACAACACATCCTTATACACTAGAGTCATTAGACCACACATCCTTATACACTAGAGTCATTAGACCACACATCCTTATAATTCTAGAGCCAATAGACCACACACACTTACTACTCTACAGCCATTAGACCACACATCCTAACGATCATAGAGCCATTAGACAACACATCCTTATACACTAGAGTCATTAGACCACACATCCTTATACACTAGAGTCATTAGACCACACATCCTTATACACTAGAGTCATTAGACCACATATCCTTATAATTCTAGAGCCAATAGACCACACACAATTACTACTCTACAGCTATTAGACCACGTTTGAGGTTATTAGACTTTTCCAGGAATAGGATGTACTAGAATTTTCAATTGTTCTTCAAAGACTTGAAAACTTTATTCTGTATAAATGAAACGATAGTGCTGCTGTCCTTAAAAAAAATACCCTCGTCGTTCACTGCATAGCGTTTTGTCATTAATCAGATGGGGATAGGTATATAGGACGTTACATTGTCATTTAATTAGCTGAATATATTATATTGATAACGAAATTCATGAAAAAACGGTGAATTTTTTTCTTATGAATATCACAAAATTTTGCATGCGGATACTCATTATATATTTATGCTTCGATATCTTCAAAACTATTGATAATGTACATATCTTTTAAAGGTGACTTTCCTTATCTTTTAGTGTCAAATTAAGCAAACTATTTGTTAAATTTGTTAATGTTCTTATTGCATTATAAAGAGTTTTAACCAATCATAAATGTCCTTGTATGTACAGTCTGCATAAACAACAAAAGGCTTTTTGACCTTTCTTGATTAGTCACTCATTGAAATTCTGCTGGTCATTCTCTGTAAATTTAGCTAATTATTGACATCTGAGACAAACTGGTAATTTTCTTTAAGTCATTAGAACACCCCTAATTTATATTCATATAAGCATTAGCATTTCAATTTTTATAAATGAAAATAAGGGTAACCAACTTTAATATTATTAATATTCTAGTATTCAAGATAACATACGTCCACTAGATTTATTTCAAGGCATGTAAAAACGACGATCATGAGATAGCATAAAATAAATAACCTATAGGCATAAACTTCTTAAAAAAAGAAAAGTCTCATGTTAAGTATATTTCAATAATTTCAAATTATAATTTGATTTATGCTCGATTAATATTGAACAATTCCAATCATTTATTTCAAAACTTGTACCAGATTATCTCGCTATCTTGATTAAAGGTTTATGGGTTATTGCCTTTGACAAAAATACATAAAAATTGGCTTGCGAACGCAACAAGGACTACAGTTGGTTGATTTTGAATAAAATCATTGCAGACCCTATACGATGGTGTCTTGGTTACCGTCTATGGAAAAAGCCTGATTTTTCAGATGCTGCCATGGGTCTTATCGTAAAGTATATTGTCACATGAACTAATATTTAAAAGTAATCGGATTTATCCACCAGCTGCCTCGCCTCGAAACCTCACTCGAAAAAGAGTCGGTGTTTTAGGCCATACACCTCGAAAACATGTACATATTTACATTAGATAATACGCTTTCAGAGACACTTCAATTTAAAACATTCTGGTGCTACGACCCCTGTCTTTGATTTCTGTAATTTGCCAATTCCCTAATGTATCTATGAAGCATTGTAAACCTCTTTAATAATTGTGCGAGTCCGATAGCGAACATTTACTGTGAGGGAAAAGAACTTTGAACGATGAAAACTACGGAAAAATTCAGTGTAGCAGCTGCTCAGCTTTATATCGTTATTTAGTATAAATTAAAGATGTAAAACGAGTGAAATCATTTGATAGCGGACATCAATATTGATAGGAAGAAGAATCTTTAACAGTAATTCGTGTTTATAAATTTAGAAAGATGAATAAATTCTTGTGCTCTGTTTTATTGGTACTGGTTGGTATATGGTTAGCAACAGTTGGTTTCACTGATGCTGGTAAGTTTTCTTGTTTATCAGTAAGAGTCTCTGTAACAATATATTCCTCGGGTAATTAAGAGCCGGACATATAAAGCCACTTTTTATGGGAATTGCTGTAACATTTTATGCCGAAACCAAAACGTGCTGATATCCTATCTGTATATCACTTCTGGGGAACGGGTATAGGCCAGATTTGTCGAGCTAAGTTTTAGAATTCTTTCATTCTGTCAATCTAAGAATAACCCCTCACTTACAATTTTTGAAAATGTTTTCTTCAAAAGGTTATATCTGTTTACCAATTTCATTTAAACGGACAGAAAAGAGGTTTTCTTATATTCGGACCATTTATGACTTCCAAATGCATTATTCCAATTCCGTTATTTGTCACAAATAGTGGTCATGGAAGAATTGAAATGGTGCAAATCCATGTTATCATTATCCTCGATACACATAAAACGCTTATAAGATCTCTTAAAGGGCTAGACAGGTTTAATATCAAGAATTTCGCTAATTATGCATAAAACTATATCTAAACCCTTTAAATAGTTTCTATAAATTTACATGGCCACCAAGGAATCGTTTAGAACATCAAATTTGAAGTTTCCTGTTATAATTGGTGGTTTCTTAACGTCTGGGAAAGGAATTTCGAGACTACGCACTTGCGCAGAAGGTTTTGTTTACAAATTTTCGACCAGAAATATAAAAATTAACTTTGTTTGTGTACTTCTCCAGTTGTTACATGTAAAATATGGATTATTATCATTATAGCAAAATTCACAAAATCACAATAATGTAAAAAATGAAATAACGAAGTTGATCGCTACTTTTATTTTCTATCGCCTCTTCCGGTCGGAAATATGTTTAGTTAATGATGATTGGTTTAATTGGTCCAATCTAAGGTATGTTCTCATAATCATAGATATCTAAAAATAACATGCTCATAATTGGGTAGTCGCCGGAACCGTAAGGAGCATCTTTCTCTACGTGTTGGCATGAAGTATTATGTATTTCACAATCAAGACCACAAAAACTCATTGAAAAAAAAGTCTAGCCCTTTAAGTTATGCTAAAAAAAGTAAGGATACAAAACACTAACCCATCACGTTATATTTTGATATCAATGCAGTTCAATGTACGTCAGACCCTATTATAATAAACGGTGTATTTGACTCTGATATAACGTCCAGAGAAGTCGGGGCAGTGTATGATTTTACCTGTAATGGAACACTGGAAGATACGGGAACTGTGACATGCGATGACATTGGAGATTGGACGACAAATTTGACATGTGAAGGTAAGAACTGACCATAGGTCGATAGTTTAGAACTTTCAAAATACTGTGTCTGGCATAAGACCTTGTCCCATGGCTTGTGAAAACTTCTTGCCTTTTGATCAAAGGTGTTTTCAATACTTTTATCAGTGAACAAGAGAAAAAAGATAGACTTGCGAATCTATTATACAAATCCTTATATATTATAAAATATTAATCTTCCATCCAAACTTGCAGGATATGGTTTAATTGCAACATTATTATTAGCCACACATACCGCTCAAAAGAGGACAAGAATACATTCTGATTATGAAAACTAAATTGTACGATAAATACATAAGAAGTCAGATTATATCATATGTCTGCTATACAATTTCGAAAGCTTCCAATGTTTTAAATTTATGTTTATGAAAATAATGGCATATAAAAAGACCAACCGTGCATCAAGAAAAAATCAACTCGCTATGCTAAGTGTCGCAAAAAGTTGCAAAATGTCTATTTCGGGTAGCTTTAAGACTGAAAGTTAATATTTTTCAATCAACATCAGATTGTCGGGTAAAGAACATTCTACACTGAAAATGACAAGGTGAAGGTCACGAAATATGGACATTCAAATTTGCAAAAAGTGCAAATTAGATAAAAGATGGTGAACTTATTTTTATTTGCAAAAATGTGCCACGCTTAGATAATGGATTATGCAATTATGCGGTTTGTTTGGTAGGAATTTTTATTTAAGATCACCTGCAGGTTTTTGTTGACATTATTGATTGCAGGGTCACCAGAAGTGATTTTAAGATACTTAAAGTGATAATGCCAAAACCGGTAGTGATTTAATAATTTAGGTTATTTATATTGGCAGTTCAAAGTTTTAAAGTACATGTATATACACATTGTTACAATGAACATAATAAAGAAAACCTGTGGTAAACCGTTCCGGAAAAAAGCTCTGCAGACGTCAAACAATTCTTAGTTTTGCTAGTTCTTTTTACATTATTTCTATTCTTTTTTATATCCACTTTGAAGTCATCAATCACCACACAAACCGGGAATCATTGACGAATCTTATTTATATGAAGTATGAATGAGTAAATTAAAAAAAAGCTGTAACAAAAATACAGCATATTTACTCTTACAGTTAAGAGTTACAAAATAACTTCATAAAACAATTGCTACATACTGTAAATGATATAGCAAAATTATGAAAAAAATCCTTAATTCCAACTAAATATGATATTTGATATAACATTATTTATAGGCCTGTAATCTATAATCTATGTAAAAATAACAATAACATGGAGAAAATCTAACAGATATTGACAATTTAAACAAACTTATAAAGACACTGCAAACTTGAAAACTTGATGCATGGACCAATATAAAGATTAAACACAATGTACTCACACTATGGGTTTGCCAAAACCAAAGAAATTTTCCAGAGGAAAACCGACGTTTTTTAAGAATTGTTAACATTTGACTAAAAGTAACTTCAAAATAAAGAGTTCTACAATAAGTATAAAGGGAGACAACTCTGCAGTGTTAATTAATTTTGGTCGATCATAATCAAATAATGCTTTTCCCTAAAGACAATGACTAGATAGGAAATAAATAAACCAAGTACTAACGATCCGAACCACAAAACCCGAAAAATTAATCAAGACAAACAAAAACAAACTGTCAAGCACTAACTCATTAATATTTTTGAAAGGTATGTATGTTAAATTATATCAAAAAAGGAGGATTTTATTTTTTCCGACCCAGGATATTGTCAATCTTCATCATTTGAAATTTAATTTCATTATCAAAATAGTACTTATTATATCAATTGTAGAGTGATATAGAAATATAAATACATTCCGAACTTGTAGACATGAAAGTAAGTTCTACTCTACAAACTTCAGAAAGGACGCAGCCTAAAATAGGTCAATGTTTGCTTGCACAGTGTGAAACTCTGAGTAACAGCATACTTATATAAAATATAAACTGACAAAACATATGGGAGTTGCGAATTTGTTTCGGTTGTAATAAGATAAGATAAATCTTTATTACCCTTTCGGGAATTCTTGTGTAATGCAAGGCTGACAAAACAAAAGGGACAAACATATAATACATAGTTAGGACATATGAAACATATCGAGCAAACAATATACAATACAATACAATTTGGACTAGGAGAAATATCACAGATTGATTTGGCGTAAACAAGTCATTTCGGAATTGTTGATCAAATATGCTTTATATTGACTGATGGAAGTTGCTAGTGTCGTAACAGGAAATTAAATGGAAAGTTCCAGACTATATAATGCTTTGTCGTAGACAACTTTGTGGACAGCTTGATGTTTTATATTCGGATGTTTCACTTTTGATTACACCAATATTCAAACAGAACAAGGTACACAACTAAATAAACCCAGCTCAATTCATTTTTCTACTTATCGCACCACGGGCTATTGTTTTAGAGACCTTATGTATATCATATTTCTTTTTCAGAATGTTACTTACCAAATAAATATTTCTACATGCAGTACAGTTTTTATTGCGTATCTTCCGAAGATGAATGTGTCCAGAAATGTGACGAGATGAATTGCAAAGCTTACTATACTGTTATTCGACAGAATACGTGGTCTTCATGTTACGTATTCCTGCCATATATAATATTCAGAGGTACAGGGATGAGTGTTCAACAGTGTATCGATAAATGTAATGAGATGGACGAATGTCTGACTATCAGATATAGGCCCATTCGCGGTGACTTATGCTATCTATTTAAAGTGACGGTGACAGAATTAGTCGCCATGGGTAATGTGCTCAGATCGACCAGTACTGGTACAATAATTGGGAAAAGATCAATTTGCCCCTAAACCTGATAAGATAGAATATAAAAAAGAGAATTGCAACATTTCTCAAACAAACCTTCTTTATCTATCGATAGTTATCTTTATCTAAACATCTTTATCTAAACATCTTTATCTATAACTATCTTTATCTGTAGTTATCTTTATCTACAACTATCTTTATCTACAACTATCTTTATATACAACTAACTTTATCTACAGCTATCTCTATCTACATTTATCTATATATACAGCTATCTTTATTTATAACTATCTTTATATACAGCTATCTTTATTTATAACTATCTTTATCTACAACTATCTTTATATACAACTAACTTTATCTACAGCTATCTTTATCTATAGTTATCTTTATCTATAGCTATCTTAATCTATCTTTATCTACATTTATCTTTATATACAGCTATCTTTATTTATAACTAACTTTATCTACAGCTATCTTTATCTATAGTTATCTTTATCTACAGTTATCTTTATCTATAGTTATCTTTATCTACAGCTATCTTTATCTATAGCTACCTTTATCTGTATTTATCTTTATCTACAGCTATCTTTATCTATAGTTATCTTTATCTACAGCTATCTTTATCTACAGCTATCTTTATCTACAGCTATCTTTTAATACAACTATTTTTATCTACAACCATCTTTATCTTCAGCTATCTTTATCCATAGGTACCTTTGTCTATGGCTATATTTATCTATAGTCTATCTATCTTTGTTATCTTTATCTACGACTATCTTAATCTATGACTATCTTTATCTCTATCTGTAAAGTATCTTTGAGTGATAATCAAATTTCTGGAAAAACTAGAATGAATATAATTTTAGTGGAGAAAATTTGTTTCAGTATTTTTGTATTTCTGTCAAAGTATTCAAGCCTAAATAATCAAGATAAAATTGCTAAACTTCAACATGTTTTTTTTTTCAATCTGATAAATGGCATTATTCATGATTAAACCTTAAACATGGGTTTCCATATTTCCATCATTCATAATCTGAATATTGGACGGCAAATAAGTATATCCATCGAATATAGAGGGGTTTTTATGATTGGGAAAATAACCAGTTAATAAGGGATTCCTATGATCAGTCGGTCTCACATTTTTCCATAGGAAATGTAATTGAATGTCTGTCTTTTCACAGCCAAATGTCGCCAATACACTAATCGACAAATTCAAAACTGGAATGGTTATGTTCCAAATATACGAAGAGAAGACAAAGACAATTCAATAACATTTCCCCTAGATTACTATATGTCTTATAAGCTCGATTTAGCTAATAATTATTTATACGAAAATGTGGCTCTATTTTAGCCCGTTAGTAAACAAGAGATCTACTTTTAGCCTTTTTAAATCAGGTTTCAATTCCTCTGATTCACCAACCTTTTCTACGTCCTCACACAATCAAACTTGAGAGTAATTGAATTATTAGTCATTAGAAACACCAATTAATCAATATGCATAATATTCTATAGCTTTTTAATGAATAGCTTATTAACCTACAGCTATTTTTTTATCTATAGCTATCTATATCTACATCTAGCTTTATCTACAGCTATCTTTATCTACAGCTATCTTTATCTACAGCTATCTTTATCTATAGCAATCTTTATCCATAGTTATCTTTATCTACAGCTATCTTTATTTATAGTTATCTTTATCCTCAGCAATCTTTATCTACAGCTATCTTTATTTATAGTTATCTTTATCTACAACTATATTTATCTACAGCTATCTTTATTTATAGTTATCTTTATCTACAACTAGCTTTATCTACAGCTATCTTTATTTATAGTTATCTTTATCTACAACTATCTTTATCTACAGCTATCTTTATTTATAGTTATCTTTATCTACAACTATCTTTATATACAGCTATCTTTATATACAACTAACTTTATCTATAGCTATCTCTATCTATAGCTATCTTTATTTATAGTTATCTTTATCTACAACTATCTTTATCTACAGCTATCTTTATCTATAGCTATCTTTATCTACATTTATCTTTATTTATAGTTATCTTTATCCTCAGCAACCTATATCTATAACTATCTTTATCTATAGCTATCTTTATCTATAGCAATCTTTATCTATAGCAATCTTTATCTACAGCTATCTTTATCTACAGCTATCGTTATCTACAGCTATCTTTATCTACAGCTATCTTTATCTATAGCAATCTTTATCTATAGCAATCTTTATCTACAGCTATCTTTATCTATAGCAATCTTTATCTATAGCTATCTTTATCTACAGCTATCTTTATCAGTTATCTTTATCTATAGCAATCTTTATCTACAGCAATCTTTATCTATAGCTATCTTTATCTATAGCTATCTTTATCTATAGCTATCTTTATCTACAGCTGTCTATAGTTATCTTTATCTACAGCAATCTTTATCTACAGCAATCTTCATCTATAGCTATCTTTATCTATAGCTATCTTTATCTATAGCTACATTTATTTTCGAAAAATTGAATTGATTTGGTGGATTCAATATACACATAATTTCGAAACTCCATGAATATTGATAAGTTCAATTTTCAGAATTTTTGGATTCAAATGCAGTTATTGTTTGCAGGTAGTCCAGATTGACATGTAGCCACTTAAATTTCGTAGTTGAAACATCATAAGCTGGTTACGCCTTTCCAATTTTCAGTCAGACATTGTGGTTCCTGTAATTCTATTGGAACTAAGAGTTTTATGACATCACAAAATCTGCTTGTATCAAAGGTCCTTTGCGATAGTGATATTATAAAACACTGCGTTTAAGTGGAAATGCAGGAAACACGCACGTCTGAGTGAAAATTGAAATTGTGCAATTTGATGCTATCACATACAAAATCCAAAAACTCCTGCTTACAATCTCTTTAATAAATATATAATATTTTCAAAATGCTATCCTAAGACTTGCGTGGTCGGACAGTAATTTCGGGTCAAAATGAAATGAAGTTCCTTATGACTTATGACACACCCACTACGTTCGAGAGTCCCACCCATGTCGTCGCTCACAAGTCATCTCTGAAAACAGGTCGTATTGGTTTATAGATGAATGTTTAATTATGTTGTTCACTAGAGTAACTTTCAAATCAATTGGACTTAACGAGCTCAGCCTGTGTGCGCACGCACATGTGCATACTTTGATAATAACTTCCCGTTTACAACAATCAGTCACATCTGTTTTTGTTTTTCTGTCTGTCAACTGTCATATTTACCTGTCGTTTGTATCGTCATTCCACAATGTCCGGTAAGTTTATATGCAGTTTTTATTATGATTTACTGTCTATTGGATTTATTGTATTACTGGTTCATAAATAGTACCTTTGTTTGCAATACTTATATCAAACCAAAATTGTAAACCTTTGAATGAAAGTAAGGCCACTGAATTGCAGTCTACACTAGAATTTCAATTCCAAAATATTAATTATATTGTTATTGGTGCTAAATGGGGCGTGTTTATTTGGAATTTGAACTAAATAGGGGCGTACAAAAATCATTTGAGGAGATGTCACGACAAATATATAGATAAATACACATTCAGTTATCCGTATGAGTCGAATTCTATTCAAACTATTCTTTGTGATCTATTTAATTCTGTATGTCTTATAAACAAAAAATTTGCTTCATGGTATTCTTAATCATTGTGTAAAATTATCATGCAGTATTTGATTGGGACATAGGCAGTTATTTTTTTTTTATGACAGCATAAAGTTTTCCCTTAAATCCTGGATTGGGACTTATATTTAAAGTATGCATTGACTCCGGACATTTTATGCATATTTTTTAAGAGACATAGACAAAACACCACACGCTTTGAGATCTTGTTCGATATTATTTGTTCTAGGGATAATTGAATATAATAATGAGAACGCACCAATTGATGGGTATCGTCCAGCTAAAGTGGGAAAATCAAGAGCCACTAGTTTGGGGCATGACCTATTCAAGGATTTGGGAATGAGAAAGAAAAGATTGTCTGATAATACCAACATAGAAACAGATTCTCATTCTGACAAACAGGTAAATATTCTTTAGATTTACTCTTCAAGAAGGAGATAATAATATTCATAGCTATTTGAGATTTACTCTACAAGAAGGAGATAATAATATTCATAGCTATTTGAGATTTACTCTACAAGAAGGAGATAATACTATTCATAGCTATTTGAGATTTACTCTACAAGAAGGAGATAATAATATTCCTAGCTACTTTAGATTTACCCTTCAAGAAGGAGATAATAATATTACTAGCTACTTTAGATTTACTCTTCAAGAAGTAGATAATAGTATTCCTAGCTTCTTTAGATTTACTCTTCAAGAAGGAGATAATAATATTCCTAGCTACTTTAGATTTACTCTTTAAGAAGGAGATAATAATATTCCAAGCTACTTTAGATTTACTCTTCAAGAAGGAGATAATAATATTCCTAGCTACTTTAGATTTACTCTTTAAGAAGGAGATAATAATATTCCTAACTACTTTAAATTTACTCTACAAGAAGGAGATAATGATATTCCTAGCTTCTTTAGAATTACTCTACAAGAAGGAGATAATAATATTCCTAGCTAATTTAGATTTACTCTGTAAGAAGGAGATAATAATATTCATAGCTACTTTAGATTTACTCTTCAAGAAGGAGGTCAAAATATTCCTAGCTACTTTAGATTTACTCTTCAAGAAGGAGATAATAATATTCATAGCTACTTTAGATTTACTCTGTAAGAAGGAGATAATGATATTCATAGCTACTTTAGATTTACTCTGTAAGAAGGAGATAATAATATTCATAGCTACTTTAGATTTACTCTTCAAGAAGGAGATAATAATATTCCTAGCTACTTTAGATTTAATCTTCAAGAAGAATATAATAATATTCATAGCTACTTTAGATTTACTCTTCAAGAAGGAGATAATAATATTCCTAGCTACTTTGAATTTACTCTACAAGAAGGAGATAATAATATTCCTAGCTACTTTAGATTTACTCTTCAAGAAGGAGATAATAATATTCATAGCTACTTTAGATTTACTCTTCAAGAAGGAGATAATGATATTCCTAGCTACTTTAGATTTACTCTTCAAGAAGGAGATAATAATATTCCTAGCTACTTTAGATTTACTCTTCAAGAAGGAGATAATAATATTCCTAGCTACTTTAGATTTACTCTTCAAGAAGGAGATAATAATATTCCTAGCT